TCCCCGCGGGCGGCACGTCCCGCCGAGACGGGCGGGAGGGGACGTGGCGAATCTGGGCGGCCGCCTGCCTCCCCTCGGGTCTCGGGCACTTCGGTTCTCCCGCTTTTTAAACTGCGTGTCGCAACTGAGGGACTTGTGCTGCTGTCGCCCGCGGAGCGCTTTGGCGCAGACAGAAGCGGGTAGTTCCGCAGGCTGCTCCTGAGGTAAAAAGCATCTTCACTCACAGGGGCTTCAGGGTGCAGCAGAGACCTCGGGAGCTGCGATGCACTCTGCGCTCAGCTGTCACAGTGCCAGCCCTCAGTTAGGCCGCTCTGACGGCAGGGCTTTCCTGTCCGGATCACCTCTGGGCACAGGAAAGCAGGTACTCACAGTAAGCCAGCGTGCAGCAGCTCTTGTACTCGCCCTGGGCGAAAACATGGGGACTCGCACAGCCTGGGGTATCGGGGGCTGCCAGCAGCCCCACAGTGCAGCAGGAGGAAGCCGAAGGTCAGAGATCAGATGCAGCTGACCCAAGGGTGTGGATCAGCCCCATCACCATCATCAGCTTGTGAGTAGATTCTAAATGACACAATGAAGTGTCGGGGCTTTTTATTCCCTGAACTTATAGGGCATACATCTGGTAACAAGCTGCCATCCTGTGGGAGCTTGGCTTTGCTAGTAGAGTCCACAACACCCTGTCAGCTCACTGCACCTTGGTAGAGCTCACTGGGGACCACTGCATCTTTCAAGTGATAACTATAAGTCCTTTTTTTAAAAAAACAACCAACAACAATGAAAAAAAAACCACACCCTTCAATAATCAAAATACAGAACACAGAGAAGCTATGTAATCTGTACACCAACTGAAAAGTTTCAGTAGTAAAAACAGATTATGACTGCAAAGTGTATATTACCATTAGTAGATCAGACCTTAAGGTTATAACCCCTTTCATTCAATCTTGCAGACTTTGTGGTATTACCATTACTGCCAGGATCACCTAAAGAATTGCCAGTAAAAAGCTCAGCTGTAAAGCAAAGAAATTCAAGTTTGCCATAAAACTTTGCAGTGCTTCCCCTGTTTACAAGAGCTGTCAAAACAGACTGCAGGAAGCTGTTGCTGGGGTTGGTTAGTTTGTGTTTTTTTTTTAAAAAGCAAACAATCACAGCTTCCCAGTGCTGCATCTAAGAAACCATTAGTGCTCAACTGGGGAGGGCTAACTACCTTTATTCATGGAGACCATTTATTTAGGCAGTGTTCTCTGAGTATGTCACTTGGCATGAGAGCCACCATTCTGCAACGGGTGAATGGGGTGTTTTTTGGAAGAAAGTTGTCTTCAAATAGTTGCCTAGGAATCAGAGAACCAGCCTTTCAAGGAAAAAGGTTTCTTGCTCAACATCTGCAAAGAGGTATTGATCTGGTTAGAATCGAAATGAAAGCATGTATTAAGAAGGTTTGCTGCTCCCAATCTACATTTTTTTAGCCCAAAAAAGTAAAAAGTCAGGATTAAGGAAGTGAAACAAATCAGATGAGGTTTGCTCCTGTCTTCTAAACATTTAGCAAATACCAATAACAGCATTAGCTGGCTGATAGACAACTACATTTTAATATAGTTCAAGAATATTTTTTTAATAGAAACAACAAATCCCTATAACAAAACACTCAAAATTTTAAAGATTACGTGGTAAAAAAGCCTGATTAACAATGAA